GTGGCTGGGTAGCTGGTGGTAGTTATTCCCCATGATGAGACTGTCAATCAACTCTATGGTAGGACCTACCACAAGCAGCTGAGTAGCTGCTTTAGGGATGTGGTCTGCTTCCCGTATATAAGAAACAGCTTTGGTAACGGTCTCTAGCTTATGGCATGCTTGAACCCTGCATGTAGCCATGTCGTTCAGCAGCCTGCCATGCTCTGATGCCCTTGGGACTTTCAATGGACTTGAATTAATGGCCTGCCCTGTGGTTTGGTAACATCAGGACTGTGCCTTTTTACTTGTCAACCTTGGGCTTGTCAGCCTCAGCAGACAGTAGCTGTCTGAGAGAAGAAAAACCTATAGCTCCAGTGAGACGGGAGCAGGAGGCAGAGCTGAAGCCCAAGGTTGAGGTGCTTTCACCCAGCCCCTAAAGCCTGGCACTTTGAACTCAGACTTCCAACCTCCCGAACTGTAAGAGAATAAACTTCTGTTTGTTCAAGCATCCCACTTGTGGTATATTCTTGTCAGAGTGCCACTAGGTAACCAGAACACCATCTGATACCAGCATTAATAGCAAAGCTAAAAAATAAAAATGGAAAACAACAAATGTTGGAGAGGGTGTGGAGACACTGTAACCCTCATAAATTTCTGTAAAATGGTGAAACCACTGTGGAAAACAGTATGGTACATCCTTTAAAAGTTGGAAATAGAAATACCGTATGATCCAGCAATCCCATATAAGGTACAAATCCTAGAGAAATAAGAGCTATAATACAGATATATGCACACCTAAGTTCATAGCAGCATTATTCACAATAGTAAAAACATAGAAATAAGTGCTCATCAAAGGTTGAATGGATAAGCAAACTATGGTACATACACACCATGGAATACCATGCAACATTAAAGAAGAACCATGAATCTGCAAAACCATCTCAACATGGATGAACCTAGAGGGCGTTATGCTTAGTGAAATTAGTCCATCATGAAAGGACAAATAATGTATTAGACCACTACTGTAAAAGGCAAAAAAGGATTATCCACAGGAAGAAGTGTTCTTTGAAGGTGACCAGAGGTGGAAGGGCAAGAGCGAGTAAATCACCAACTAGAGGGTGAGCACATACTAATTTCTGTGAAGAGAAAGGTGACAGAGAATAAGGGGGAGGGCACCACAAAACTATAAAGGCAAAGGAAGACTCTGGGAGAAGCACAAGAATTAAAGGCAACAGAGGTGAACATGGCACATACCCAACCCTGCAGTAACGGCACTGACGGCACTCCATGCGTGGACGCATGGCCATGCGAGCCGAGCAGGAGTGGAAGGTGAATGGGCTCCACCTACCAATGTATGTAGGTGTGACAGGGTATTTCTAAATGTGCGCTGCAAAGGTATCCAGGCATACTGTACAGCATGAAGGGGCAAAGTTATGAAAACTTCTTAGCCATAACCAAACACCTTGAGGGGATGGTTGCTGGGTCTGGAGGCTCAGGACCATAGTCTCGGGGGACAGCAAGACCAATGGCATAACATAATCCACCAAGACCAATGTTCTACATTCTCCTTTAGTGAGTAGTGACTGGGGTCTTAAAAAGCCTCTGAGCAGGCTTCTAAGGTGCAACTCTCGGCCCCTCCCCATCCAGAGCAAAGAATAGTGAAGAAAACCAGAGAGTAATGGAACACATGAACTCCAGCCTCCCTGACTCTGAGACCAGAAAGAACTAGATGGTGCCCGGCTACCACTGCGGACTGCTCAGAAAGAGAGGTCCTGGACAGAGTGGGAGAAAAATGTGGAAGAAAATTCAAAATTACAAAAAAAAAAAAAAAGACCAAGTTTACTGGTCTGATAGAGACTAGTGTAACCCCTGAGACTATGGTCCTCACCCCCGTGGCTCAACTTTTAGCCAAACAAGAGACAGGCCTATACGGTGAACTGTAACACCAAGGAAGGATGCACTCCTTAGAACAACCAATCATATGAGATCAGAAAGGCAGCATTTGCCCAGGGGTAAAGCTCAGAAGGACCTCTGGTGGCGTAGTGCCTAAGGCACTTGACTGCTAACCAGAAGGCTGGCGGTTCAAACCTACCAGCCACTCCTCAGAAGGAAGGTTGGGCAATCTATTGCCTTGGAAACCCAAGGAGGGGTCGCTATGAGTTGGATCCAACTCGATGGCACATAACAACAACAACAACAAAGCTCAGCAGGCAGGAAGGGACGGGAAAGATGGACAAAGGGAAACAGTAAACACAGGGAGGGAGTGGGAAGAGAGCTGTGACATTGTGAGAATTATAATGAATGTCACAAAACAAAATGTGTATGAATTGTTGAACGGAAAACCAATGTGCTCTGCAAACTTTCACCCAAATCACAAGAAGATTTCTTAAAAAAACCTAAGAGACAGTTCTACTGTGTTACATGGGGTCACTATAAGTTAGCATTGACTGGACAGCCCCCAACAAGAAGACATTCACTCACTCACTCATTTATTTATGCCCGTCAAAATAGTGAAAGGTAAGAAAAATATTTAGATGTTTTAGTTGACTTGACCATAGTGGTTTCTTCTTTGAGGGGTGTGGGTTTGAACACTTAGAACCCTCCCCCAAAGTTCTCATTTGATCTTTGATTGCAATCTCAGCTTCCAGGACCATGGACTGTCTCTGTGGTTACTTTAAAACATGTATTACAGAAGCAGAGTATGGTTGGACGGCATGAACAGTGCGGTTGAGGAAGTAGTATGCGTTTTCTGGTGCCTGGGCAATGCAGAGAATGTGATTTGCATATATTACTGAGAACCCTCACCTAGACCTTGTAAGATGTATGTTGTTACTATTCCATGTTTTTCCACAGGAGAATAGAGAAGCTTAGAAATATGTAAGTTTCCCAAGTTACTCAGCTAGGGGCTGACTGAGTAAACAATAATAAAAAAAACAAAACAAAACCTACCACCATTGAGTCGATTCCGACTCATGGTGACCTCATTGGGTTTCCAAGGTGGTAAATCTTTATGGAAGTAGATTGCCCCATCTTCCTTCTGTGGAGGGGCTGGTGCTTTTGAACCGTCAACCTTCTGGTTAGCAGTCAAATGCCTTAGGCATCACACCACCAGAGCTCCTTATAATAATAATAATGCCTACCATTGCTTGAACTCTTCATATTGTCAGGTACTTTCTAGGCATTTTATACAAATGATCTTATTCAATCCTTCCAGTAACTCCAAGATAGGTTCTCCTATTATGCCCATTTTACGGATATAGAAATAGGTTGAGTATCTTGTCCAAAGTCACAAACCAGGACAGCTCAATTCCATGGGTGGAGCTCCAAAGACCCTGCACTTCCAAGTACACCACCATCAAGTCTGTCCTACCTGACATCTCTCTTGGTGTCAGATGGAGCAAGGCTGCAATCCGGAGCCTAGGATGTGGTCACTGGGCCATGCTGGGCCACTTATTACCCAACCTGAGCCTCTGCCATCAGTCTCTAGGTTAAAGGGCATGGAAGGTGCAAAGAGACAAAGCAGGTACAGCCCAGGCTGGCACTGACCTCAGCCTACTTCCTGCCATATTCATATTCTTCCCACAGGGAAAGAGGCGGAGAGAGGTAGCCTTGAAAAGCGATGCTATTCTGTTCCTTCCCTCTCTCTCCATTGAGAAAGTATGTGAGTATCTGTGGGCACATGGAGATCAACTGGAACTGAACGTGAACCTTCGTCAACATCTGTACTACAGAGACCCTGTCATTCCAATGGAAATTTCTTAACATTGCTTAAACCTTTCTTTTCTACCAGTTTTTTTCTTTCTAAACTCCCCAGGGAAGGAAGGAAGGAAGTGAGGGGCAGAGTAAAGAGATGAACTGTGAGTGTATGGTGCGGATGGTGGATGCTAAAAGAAGAGTTGGAGCCACCCAGAAGCACCAAGGAAAGGCCTGGCCATCTCCTTCCAAAAAACCAGCCATTGAGAACCTCATGGGGCACAGTTCTACCCTGACACACATGGGGCTGCCGGGGTCCAAGTCGACTGGAAGGTAACAAACATGCAGGTACATGCAGGGAGTGTGGGCTGGAGGAGGCGGCGGGATTCAGAGAGACAGACGCTTGGTCAGACTAATGACAAACAGGACTGGCCCGGAGAGGTGGCCTGCACAGACACCAGCAGGAAGGAGGCTGGACCCCAGTGACAAGCTCTCAGTGAGGCTGACGAGGAACGGCTAAAAGTGAGCCCACAAGTGCGCCTCCTGGGGTTCCATCACCCCATCTCTCTCTGCCTCCTCTTCTCTATACCCCCAAGTCCAGAAACCAGGCCCGCTGCAAAACACCCCTTTAAAGTGGGGAAAAATGCATCATTTGTCCTACTGATTGTTATGGTTTTAATTGTTGTTGTTTGGTGCTATCGAGTTGGCTCATAGCGACCCCGTGTGCAACAGAATGAAACACTGCCCAGTCCTGTGCCAGCCCCACAATCCCTGCTGTACCTGAGCCCATCGTTGCAGCCACAGTGTCAGTCCATCCCGTTGAGGGCCTTCCCCATTTTTGCTGACCCTCCACTTTACCAAGTATGACATCCTTCTCCAGGGAATGGTCCCTTCTGACCACATGACCACAGTATGACCAACTGACAGATGAGTGGTGGCATAGTTTGAATTAGCATGCTACTATTAAACAAAACAGTTCCTATTATTATCTGTGGGGTGAAATAATTTAAAAATAGTATCACTTCCACCTTAAAAAAAAAAAAAAAAAAGAAAAATCCTATAGGGAGGCTGACAGCAGGATCTTAAAAACATCAGGATTTTAATTTTAAGGATTTTGTCATTCAGGCATTTGATTGGGTCCCAGGGAACTACCTGCATTTAAGCTGTACTTGCCTCAAGCCAAATACACTAATCCCACTTCCAAATGTTCCTCTCGGGGTTGGCAGCTGTCTTCTTCCTTATTAGGACTACACACCCTTTAAGCGGCCCGCCTCCCCTGCCTGGGCTGGGGGCTCGCTGACCTGAATCAGTTCTTGGGGGTTACTTACGTGGGACACCTTGCTGGAGGGAACCAGCCCGGAAGAGAGTGGGAGGCGTTTTCCGGCTCAGTCTCTTTAACAAGCGATCGCGCTCATTCATCCTGCAAGGAAACCAAACACTGGTCAGTCCCCAGATCACAGGCATACAGCTCACTGTACTTGGCGAAGAACGTCGGGTGTAAAATAAAACAGACAGGCGGGCAGAAAGCTTCCCCACATCAAGCAGACTGTCCAGTTTCACAATCTGCACCATTATTTACAGTAGATGCTATCTTGACACATTGAGTGCACTCTCCTTGCTGCTAAAAGCCGCTCTGTTTCCAGTCAGCCTTGGCCCAACGCCTCTGAACTCAGCCTTCCTCTGAGCTCAAGTGCACTACAAGTGCCCTTTCATACCGGGTGCAGCCCCACCCGCCCCAGAACACTTGCCAGGTGGGATCTGTTTCTATGGGAAATGTTTTAAAAGCCTCAATCCCACATCCAGCCTGTCTTTCCCAAAGCCAATAAACCACACAAGGTCAAGAATCCTGCTGATACATCTCAGAACCCAGGTCCGGTGCTGTCCTCCTTTCTACCGAACCTGGTTCTGATTTTTGAACCAATGAAAACGTGGAACCAGTGAAAATCAAGTAAAGCTTTTTCTTCTAAAAGACAGGATCGGCAGCTCTCTCCACCTTCCCTGGAAGTGCTCCCTTCAAGGTGGTCACAGCTTGTGAAGAAATATGGAACTATACTGGAGGATCTATTTGGATCCACAATCAATGCCCCTGGAAGCAGCAGTCAAGATATCAGAAGATGTATTGCACTGGGCCAATCTGCTGCAAAACACCCCTTTAAAGTGTCAAAAAGCAAAGATGTCACTTGAGGACCAAGATGCACCTGACCCATACGATAGTGTTTCTATTCACTTCATATGTATGTGAAGACTAAGGTGTGCCATGGTATTTTCAATCGCCTCATATACACATGAGAGCTGGACAATGAATAAGGAAGACTGAAGAACAGCTGATGATTTTGCACTGTGGTGTTGGCGAAGAATACTGAAAACACCATGGACTGGCAGAAAAACAAACCAACCTGTCCTGGAAGAACTACAGCCAGAAGGTTCCTTAGAAGGGCAATGGCCAGATTCCGTCTCACCTGCCTTGGTCAGAAGGGACCAGTCCCTGGAGAAGGATGTCATGCTTGGTAATGTGGAGGGTCAGAGAAAAAAGGGAAGACCCTCAACGAGATGGATTGACATAGTGGCTGCAATGATGGGCTCAAACATAACAAGGATTGAGGATGGCACAGGCCTGGCCATTTTGTTCTGTTGTGCACAGGGTCGCTATATGTAGGAGCTGAGTCTTCAACACCTAACAACACACGCATGTGAAAGCCGGACAATGAAAAAGGAAGACAGAAGAAGAATTGGTGCATGTGAACTGTGGTGCTGGTGGAGGATGCTGAATGCACTGTGACTGCCAGAAGAATGAGCAAGTCCTTCTTAGAAGAAAGACAACCAGAATGTTCCTTAGAAGTGAAGATGGGTGACATTCTGACTTGCTGACTTTGGAGATGTCATCAGGAAAGAACAACTGGTAGAAAATGACATCATGGTTGGTAGAGTTGAGGGTCAAGGAAAATGAGGGACACTCTCCATGAGATGGATTGTAACAATAGCTGCAAGAATTGATGCAAACCTACTGTGTTAGACTGGGTTCTGTAGAGAAACAAAACCAGTAAAGCTTATAGACAGAGAGAGAAAGAGAAATTTATCTTAGGAAAATGGCTCACACACTTATAGAAGCTGGCAAGTCCAAAGTTCTTGGATCAAACGTCAAGCTGGAGGCTTTTCCCGACTCTCGCAGCTGCAGGGGCTGAGGAGCTCAAGGTTGGCAGGCAGTATACTGGCTGTTGACTCCAACGAATGACAAATCCAAGGTCTCCAGGCTGAATGGTGGATTGTTTGCTCATGGACAGTTGCAGGCAGCACAACAGAATCCCGATCCACAGAAGAATGTCTCTTTTCCCAGGTTGTCCATAAATATACTGGAAGCAGGCCACACCCCTAGGGAAACTCCCTTTCAATGGATTGGCTGCTCGAAACATATACATCTGATCCCATCATGGGAATAACCACATCACAACTGCTTAAACCACACAGAATTGTGGTCCAGCCAAGTTAACACACAGCTCCAACTATCACAGTCCACACTTTGTCAACTTGGCAGTTATACACATCTTCTTAACCATATATAATCTCTAAATAAGGACAATTATAAAATCATATTTGCACCTAACATAATACGCTAACACAGGTACAACTGAAACACATTAACCCTCTTCACATTTCATAGTTCATAACAGAAGGAAACAAAAATATTTGATGCACATATACAATGAAGAAATATAACAATCACAGTCCTCGTTTCTGCAGCGGGTCACGTGGTCGTAGCTGATATTGAGAACTGCCTTCTTCTACCACCCATTCTGTATTTCCCGTGTCCTCAGCAAGCACCTCAGCTGCTTGTGGTTCTTTGCCTGGTGGGGTGACCCAAACCTTCATTCCTGAAGGGTCTGGGCCGTTAGCAGTCATATCAGAATTGGGTTGCTGTAATTTTCCATTGACTTTAATCACAGGGCATGGTAGTACTAAGGGACGCCCTAAGGAATCTCCTGTATTCCAGACATACTCTACTTTACCTCCTTTATGTAATGTTGATCCAATTTCCCCTTGGTAATCAGGATCTGTCATACCAGATAGTACAGAAATGCCCTTCTTTGTCTGTTGATCCAGAGGCATGAGGAAGCCAAAATGGCCAGGTGGCATTCTTAATTTCCAGTTCAGTGCACACCTACCAACATCATGAAGATGGAACAGGACTGGGCACCATTTCCTTCTGGTACCCATGAGGTTACCATGAGTTGGAGCCAACTCAATAGCAACAACCACCAGCACAACATACTGGTGGAAAGCTGTTGCTCATTTCTACAAACTAAAAGGTGGTTGTTGTTGTTGTTGTTAGGTGTTGTCGAGTTGGCTCTGACTCATAGTGACCTTTTGTACAACAGAACAAAACATTGCCTGGTCCTGTATGATCCTCACAATCATGGCTACATCCGAGCCCATTGTTGCAGCCATTGTGTCGATACATCTTGTTGAAGGTTTTCCCCTTTTTCACTTCTTCAGGACCAGGTCCCTTCTGACACCATGACTAAAGTACATTTACAGCCTTGGAAACCCTTTTGGGGTTGCTATGAGTCAGAATTGACTCAATGGCAGTGTTTTTTTTTAACCAAAAGGTCATGCTTCAAAATTGCCCATGTGGGCCAGAGTGGGTTGATTTCTCACCATCGGGATGACACTTTGCTTGGCCAAAAAGAAGCTTCCGGTGTGGGAGTGTGTCAATGCACTCGGCTGCCATTTGCAGAAACGTCTGAGGGCTTGTGAAACCATGGGAGGAGCTGCCATTGCTTGTGGTCCAGAACCCCAAGTGTCTGAGGCCCCAGCCTGAGAGGGACGTCCTTGTGAGCCGAGTGTCCTTCACAGCTCCCCTAAGGAGCTTCTAAAGAGGCAGAGCTGGGGGCTGGCTGCTCTCAAAGGCTCCATGAACTGAAGTTTGTTTTGCACTTGAGTTTGCAGAAGAGTTCCTTTTCTGATTGTCTTGGTTGAAATGACAATGTTTAATTCATTACCAATTAAGGGTGAGCTTCAGCTAGCTAAGCTTAGCAAAATGGCTGATGAGGAAAAATGCTCCGTCTATCCCTCCACACCAGCTTCCTCTGCCCCCTCCTACCTTGTTCTTCCATGGGCCAAATTAATCTCACAGGGCCCTGCTGGGCAGCGGCTCCGACTACAGTGACATGCAGATAAATGACGCATGAGCCATGCAGGCTCAACTGTATCCCTGTGCGGCCGCCATCACCAGACCATTAGTGTTTTCTGTGCTGTCTGGTTTCAGGACGTGGGGAGTGCTCTCAAGGGCCTGTCCTTCTGGGCTCACACTTGCCCAGCAAGGGCCATGGTCCCTTTGTGCACAGAAGACACTTGTCAGGCCCTGTTCCAGGCCCTGTGTGCAGAGGGGGATCCTGAAGCTGCTAGACCCAGGGACCTTTGGGGCTAGGCTACAGCTTCCCCTGAGCCACCTTGCCTGTCAGGCTATGTGATCATACAAAGGGTAGGCAAAGCATTTTTCCCCCCAGAACCTAGCGGACAGGAGCAGGGTGCTATCCCTGGCATCTCCCACAGTGTAGACCCAGTAGTTCCTCCCAGTGGTAGGGCTTCATAAGGATGTTGAAGCATCACAGAAATGGGAGGGGTCTTCCGACTTCGCAGATCTCAGCATCTCACTCTGCAGGCAAGGAAATGGACCTCAGATGTCTCACACAACTAGGCATAGGTCATATCATGCTTCACTGGCAACAGTCTCCTCTGCCTTTTATGCCAGGCAGAAGTCACCCAGTTTCCTCATGGAATGACATTGCTTTTATTTCTCTGTTTTTCTTTTCTTTTCAAAATAATGAAATATTCCAAACACATACTAGAACCAAACAAATTCACTGCCATCCAGTTGATTTCGACTTGTTCTGGTTCCCTAGTGCCGCTCTGACAGGAACATACAAATGGGACGGCCTTAACAAACAGGACTTTATTCTTACAATTTGAAGGCTTTAAGTCCAAGTTCAAGTACCAGGCTCTAGAGGCTGGGTGAAAGCCCTTCACCCTTGGGGTCCAGCTCTGCCTCCTGCTCCTGGTCCACTGGACCTAGAGGCGTTTCTTCACTCAGACACCTGCTGGCTGCTGAGGCTGAGAAGCCCCAAGGTTGACAAGTAAAAAGGCACAGTCCCGATGTTACCAAACCACACAGCAGGCCATCAACTTAAGTCCATTGTGAGTCCCAAGGTCAGCAACACGACTACATGCAGGGTCCAAGCGTGCCATAGGCTAGAGACCATTCCCAAGGCTTCTCCTTATATACAGGAAGCAGACTACATCCCAAAGGTAGCTACTCAGCTGCTTGTGGTAGATGCCACCATGGAGTTGATTGCCAGTCTCATCATGGGGAATAACTACCACCAGCTGCCCAGCCACTCAACCAGGCCCAGCCAAGTTGACACA